AATATTCTCTAAACTAATGAGTGAGATTTTTCTGTATAAGCGATGCCCTGATGGATAATCTTTTCTGTTTTCATATTGTCTGCCAAATCAGAACAGTTTGTCCTCTCATCCTGCCTCCAGCATCATTCCTGCCTCCAGCATCATTCCTGCCTCCAGCATCAGCCCTGTTTCTAGTGAACCCGGTGAACCAGCGCCAACAATGCTGTCAGCAGTAAACACGCCGAGTGTTTGGACCTGGCGGGCCGGCACCGCTCACCTGTCAGGCTGTCGTAGCACTCGATCTCGGTGCTCTCCACGGCTCTCCGCTGCTCCTCGGTCAGCTTGGCGGCGGCTTGGCTCAGCAGGTTGACCTCGGAGCCCGTCGTCCCGTCCACCACATGCACCCCCTTGAGCTGCAGCAGCGCCCGGTGGTACTTGCCTATCGCCTCCCGGAATTTCTTCTCCTTGTAGCAGCGATGACCCTCCGCCTTAAAGTCGATGGCTTTCTGGATCTTCAGCTCCATCTCCGTTTCAGCTGAGCCGGCCCGATACCCGCCGTCTCCCCCGGCGGCCGCCGCCAGGCTACGACCGCCGGTTTCCGGGTAGCTTTTCAGGCTCTTTATAGGATGTTGTTTAGCCTCCATGTCTCTCAGTGGACGCAGTTGGAGCGGGCCATCGTGCTCGGACACGTAGGTGTGTTTTGTCGGGAGGACCGGAGCAGCGTGCTGTGCATAAATGGCACGCGGAGACCGCGGCAGGCGGGAACCCGAAAGAGACAAAAGCGTCGAAGAGCAGCGAATAAAGCCGCTTCACGGACGCCTCCGCGTTGTGGTTGGAGCTTGAAAAAAACGCTGCCTGTTTTTAAAGAACAAAAAAAGTCTTAAAATAAACTTAAGAAGCCGGTGGCGGCGGTGGGAACATCCTGAATCGCTCAACGTTCCGCCGTCCAACCGTCGAAGACACAACTCGCGGAAAGATGCTCGCGCAGACCGAGGCACGCGCATCTTCAGCACCACAGACAGCCCCTAGCGCACAGCATTGTGGGAGGAAAAAAAACGAGTCGTGAGGCGTTACTGCAGTCAAGATTTTACTGGCAAGAAAGAGAAAAACAACGTGGAAATGCCTTGGCACGAGCGATTATTTCTTAAAAACATGATGCCAATGGATCAATATCCTCCAACATGTTTACTGAACCTTATCTACTGGATACAGATCTGGTCAAAGACACTTTTTATGGCTTTAATCGGTTAGACTAACTGAAGCATATCTCTGTGAGTGTCAGGCTCCACCTGTGCGCGTTTTCTGCCGAGGCAGAAGGAGACGCACAGAAACACTGCAGGTGTTACACTATATTCTGTGACCACCGTATATTGTGATCGTGGCTTGGAGGTAACCAGGAAAACCTGGAGTGGAGTTTTAGTGGTTTGAGTATTCTCCTATTAATCAAGTGGAATGGATTCGTTCACGAAGAAAGAGAAACTGCGCCGCCTGCAGAACTAATGTTCCATAGTAAGTGTGTGTGTGTGTGTGTGTGTGTGTGTGGGGGGGGGGGGGGGC